TTTATTTATCAGACTTGAGTTATCTCACTCCGTCACCCTATCAGGAAAATCGCTTCCTGAATTAAAGGCAAATCGTACTCTTTTTTTTTAATACTCCCGGGCACTTTAAGGACTTACAAGCCTCTTTATAACTATACAAAAAAAGAATTAGAATTTATTGTTGGCTTAGCTTAGAGGTCTCCAAACTTGGCAACTTTAGGACTTGTGGATTTTGGGGAGTTGAATTCTGGGAGTCGAAGTCCACAAATCTTAAAAGTTTCCAAGTTTGGGGAGTCCTGGCTCAGGTAGTGACATGGGGTATTTGCAGGTCTAGGATCACCCAGGTTCTTTGAAGGGAGTCATAACTCTGAATTCTGGGTCAATTAAAAAAAAAAAAAAGAACACACACACAACCCCGAAAAGGATGCTTAATCCTAACCCTACATGCCCCCTGGGAAAGGAGGGGGAAGATATGAGCTCCTTCAGGATGTACCCGTTTTTTTTTTACAAAGATGTTGTCATAATTTTGCAATTGGGTTGCTTCCCCCCCCCCCCCCCCCCCCGAAGTTTCCTTTAAACTGGGTATAAGCAACCCGTGGCTCTGGAGCCGCATGCGGCTCTTTGGGCCCTCTGCTATGGCTGTCAACTAAAAAAACACTCCTTTGGTCTTTTTAGCTGCCAGCAGAAAGGGAGTGGGGGGGGGGCAGGCAGTACATTCCTGAAATGCTTCAGATAATTGCTAGGCAGCCCAAAGCTGTCGGCACGCAAGATTATCAGTGAAGAGCATGATTGATGACTCTTGGCTATGGATGGGTCCCATTGGAGAATATACATCTGGGGGGGGGGAGATCAGGTTCAAGGGGGAAATGAATGGTGTATTTTAGTGTCGGCTGACCCCAGCTAACGCCGACATATTAATTCCTAATAAATCAATTTTTTTACTTTACTTTTTTACTCGGCTAGAGAACGGGGGTGGATTTGTTGGAGTCTTGACAGTGGCTCCATTGGGTGATCCCAGCACTGGCTGCCCCCCCTCCCCAACCCAGTCACTCCTCGCCTGGCTTGAGAAGGTAAAACACAAAAAAACAGAAATATGAGAGAGGGAGAGAGACCCATTTCTCACAGAAGACACCAGGAGCCACAAAACCTGGGTAGGCGTGGCCGAGGGGCTGACATGTGACTGGGTGGAAGTGACGTCGAGTTGGCCACGCCCAGCCAGGTTTTGTGGCTCCCGGTGTTTTCTTTCCTGTGGGAAATGGTTCCAAAATTGAGTGTTTTAAGGTTGCGGACCCCTGCATTAAACTAACCTTAGTCCCAGTTCCACAGACACGTTTTTCTCTCAGCAACGCTTTGTAGTCGTTTGCCGTCTTTATCACTCTTTTATCCTAGGTACCCAGAAATACAGCAGAAGTCATGTGGAGAACAATGGGGGGGGGGGGGAGGAGGAGGAGAAGAAAAGAGATTTTTTAAAAAGATACAGTCAGATGTAAGGCAAAATTGCAACAAAGAGATGTTGAATAAACCCTGCTTGAAGAGGGGATTGGACTAGAACAGTGGTTGCCAACCGGTGGGCCGCAGCACAGCCGTGGCTGCAACAGGGGTGATACCAGCAGCGGATGGTGGACTGATGCACGTGGGGAGGGTAGCGCATGGGAGATTGTGGCATCCGAGCCAGGGGTGGGATTCTACCAGTTTGCACCTATTTGCTAGAACCGGTTGTTAACACTCTAAGCAGTTCGGAGAACCGGTTGTTAGAAGAAGTTACTGGACTAATCCTGTAAGGAAGGCAGGAAGGAAACATTCTGGTGTTGCTTACAGAAACTGCCTCTCCATTAACCCTTATTACATTCTTGGCAGGACTAGACTTCCTGTCTCAGGAACTTCTCTGGAGTTTTTTTCCCCCTCCTTTGCTGGTACTTTGCTTGTGTGGAGTGACCATTCAAAGTTACAATGGCACTGAAAAAAGTGACTTATGACCATTTTTCACACTTACGACTGTTGCAGCATCCCCACAGTCATGAGAGGCCAGGCGAGGAGATGCGTGCCTCGATGTGAGTGATATTGAGTTGGCCATGTATATATGTGTGTGTGTGTGTGTATATTAGTATGTATGTATGTGTGTATATTTGTGTGTATATTTGTGTGTACGTGTGTATATATATATATATATATATATATATATATATATATGTATATTTGTGTATATGTGTATGTGTGTGTGTATTTGTGTTTTATTTGTGTGTGTGTGTATATGTGTGTGTATATGTGTGTGTATGTGTATATGTGTGTGTATCTATATATGTGTGTGTATCTATATATGTGTGTGTATGTATATATGTATGTATGTATGTGTATATGTGTATTTGTGTATGTGTGTGTGTATATATGTGTGTGTGTGTGTGTGTGTATTTGTGTGTGTATCTATATATGTGTGTGTGTGTATGTATGTATGCCATCAACCGCACCCCACCGGCTCAGGCGGATGGGGACGGTAGTCAAGAGGGGATGGGATTGGTAGTCCCCCCCCTCCGCACCGCGTCCACAGCTCCTCACCTCGCCGTTGTTCATATATCGCTGGAGGTAGTACGTGGAGATCCCCGGGATGATCAGCCCCACGTACATAATAGCCGCCGAGGGGAGAATTTCGTACCACATCACGACAAATCCCCGATTCTGTCGAACTTCTGCAGCAAGAGGCACCACGCATGCGCCACGGCTCCCCCTCCCGGCCCATTCTGACCTTCCCGTCCTCGGGCCCCCAGGATGCACCGCGCGGCCGGCCACTTCCGCTCCCCGTTGCTGTGGTAACACCTCTGCAACGGCGGAAGGGAGGGGTTGCTTTTTTTTTTTTTAAGGGAAAGACGAACCTTTTTTTTAATTATTATTATTATTTGTTTTATTCTTTGGGCTCCATACGAGCTGGAGAGTTATTTTACATTGAGGTAATGCCGGTGTGGGGCGGGGATATTTGGGTAACGCTTACCCAAATATCCCGGGTCTACATCGGCATTACGTGTCGCGTCACGTTGACGTTTCGTGACGTTTACCCCCCTCATTCGCGGAGCTGGGGTGAGGGCGTGGCCTGAGGGTGACACTCCTGTAAGGAAAGGGTTATTGTAGTTGTTGTTTTCCCTCCGCCCCGAAAGAGTTGAAGAGGCGCAAAGCATGCTGGGAAGTGGAGTCCCTGCCCGCCCTGGCTGGTCGCCTTGGCAACGCGCGGCCTGGCGGAGTCGCGCCGCCTGCCTGGTGGTGAGGAGGCCGCTGTGGCGTCGCGGCTTCCCTTCGGCTCTTCCCGCGAGAGGAGCGGGCTGACACCGCGGCCCAGGAGGCAGGGAGGCCCACCGCGTACGTTGCCCCGACTCCCCACCGCGGCGCCCATCATGAAGGAGGACAAGGAGAACGCCAGGCCGAAGGAGAAGCGGGCAGGGCCCCTCGCTCCCACCGGCCTCCGAGCAGCCATGGCCGGGGCGGACGCCAAGGCGGGCGGGGAGCCCGACCGCCTCGAGAGGCCCAAAGACAAGAAAGAGACGCTCAGTAAGGTGCGCCGAAGGGAAGGGGGAGGGGGAAAGATATTCGGCCGCCCGGCCACCCGCTGGTGAGGAAGGACTACAACTCCCATCACCCCCATCTCGCTGATGTCCATGGCAGATTTTGGAGAAAACGTTATTTCCCTTGGCAAGAGTAGAACATAGAATAACAGAGTTGGAAGGGACCTTTCAGGTCATCTAGTCCAACCCCCTTCTCGAGCAGGAGTGTCTATTCCAAATATTAGCACCTCTAAGGCTGACAGAGGTTGTTGTGATGCAGATAATAGGAGGAAGAAGAGAATATTAATAATAATAATTGGTGGTAGTAGCAGTAGGAATAAGCGATAATATTGATAATGATAATAATAATAATAGCAATAATTACTAATCATAATGATAGTAAATAATAGTAATAAGTGAATGATAATATTGATAATGACAACAACAACAACAACAACAACAATAATAATAATAATAATAATAATAATAATAAAAAATAGTAATAATAAGTGATAATTATAATGATAATGCCAATAATAGCAATAATAATAATAACTAATGATAATAAATGATAGTAACAATAGTAATGTGATAATGATTATATTGATAATGCAAATAATAAAAGCAATAATTACTAAATATAATAAATAATAGTAATAAGTGAATAATATTGATAATGACAGTAACAGTAATAATAGTAATAAGTAATGATAAATAATAAACAATAGTAATAAATGATAATGATAATAATAGAAGATAATTAGTAGCACTCATAGAAATGTGATAATATTGATGATAATAAATAGTACTAAGTGATAATGATATTTATAATGTTAATATTATAATAATAATAATAATAATTAATAATAATAATAATAATAATAATAATAATAATAATAATAATAATAATAACAGTAACAACAATAGCAACTGTTATTGTACTTTGCTTAGGTCATGGAGCTCAAATCCTCTCCCATCCCCCAACCTGAAATGGTATAACCCTTTATGGCAGGGGTGTCAAACTCAAGTCACGGTCGTGTCATGTGACGTATCAGGACTTCCCCCCCTCCGCTAAACCTGGCACAGGCGTGGCCAGCACATGACGCATTTGGCCCACGGGCCAGGAGTTTGACAGCCCTGCTTTATGGCGATGCTTCAAGCTGCGCCCACTGTTAGTGAGCTGAGGATGTCAACACTGAGGGCTCCTGGGTGCTCTCTGAGCTTGGTGGTTTTCTTGCAGATGTTTCATGACCCGACTAGGTAACATCATCAGTGTTGGAAGGGAGGGTTATACATAAGATATAGGTAGATTAAGCTATTAGATCCAGGAAAGATTCTACAGTATCATTCTACAGTAAATAAAATGAAGAACCCAATGCCTCTGTGGATGGATATTTTCATTCAGTGGCATGTTGGCATCTGAAGTTAAGTTTCATTATAAACAATAGAGGAGAGGAAATAATCTGGTTTTAATTAAACTACTTGATACTTTAATGTTTTTATTTGTTTTTTTTATAAAAAGTTGCATTTTTAAAAACTGCTTTTTGATGTTTCACCTGTTGTAAAGGATGAAACATTTTTCTTTAAGGTAGTGATTCGACGCCTCCCTCCCAGCTTGACCAAGGAACAGCTTGAAGAACATCTCCAGCCGCTGCCAGAACACGATTATTTTGAATTCTTTTCAAATGACTCTAGGTAAACAAAAGAAAAAAGAACAAAAAAGGGGAAGGTTGGCTGTGTTGCACGCAACGATGGCATGTCACGTCTGTCTTTCAGTTTTTACACCCTTCTGTGTTGTGTATATTTATAATCACCACTCAGCAACGTTTTCTTACACATTGCCATTTTTTGTCCTTCTGCAGTTTGTATCCTCACATGTTTTCCAGAGCATACATCAACTTTAAAAACCAAGAAGACATAGTTCTGTTCAGGGATCGCTTTGATGGTTATGTTTTTATTGATCACAAAGGCAAGTAAGCCTACAATTATCATATCTCTGTTGTTCATATATATATATATTGGCAAACTTTTGTACAATAAGTATACTGTAATTCTGGAACCGCCTATTTGCTTCCATACCATAACCGAGTTAAGATCTTTTAACACGTAGTTCAGATTGTGCATAATTACACATCAATAATCTAACTAATCTGAGGTGGTAGAGTTTTATTTGCAGGCAGAGGGCTTAGGATCATTAATACCTCAGTGCTCGGCACACTTTTTCTTAAACTGTAAGTATCATATTTGGTTTCGAATAAATAATTTTAGAATTGCAGCGTCAACTAAAATTGGACGCTTGGTTGTATAAAAATGTCAGTTATAATTTGGGTTAAGTGTAGTCTTTGGAGCATACAAGCTGCCCAAAGGAATATGGATGTCGGGAAGAGGATAAGTTGTGCTTGCTTTTTATTAGGGATACGGACTAGCCTAAAATCCCATTTGTTTAGGGATGATTCGGGGATTAATAAGAGAAGTTTACAGAGTCAAATAAGTGCCCCAGTTTTCTTGCTCAGGATTCTGTTTTAGCTTCTTTTGGTTTAAAAGGTAGATCAAGCTGGCTGGCTTTGGCAATCCAGATGCAAAAAAATAAAAATAAAAAAATTAAGGCATCCGTTCAGGAATTTTTGTTTTGAGAACCACACTGTATGGTACTCATAGCCTTTCTGCCCCTAAAATAATGGAATTGACATCGTGGAAATATTTTTCCCTGCAATAGTTGCCCAGTTGAACATTAGAAACATTTTAGAGTTTACCGTAGATTTTGAAGAAATTCTGGTGGCAGAGCCACATCAGCAGCCACCAACTGTAGGATCATGCTACTTATTTTTTTTATTTATTTATTATTTATTTTGCTTATTTACCATTTTTCATGCAGCCAAAATTACTTTACGAATCATTTATGTTAGGTTATAGTCATTGTTGTTCAAAAGCATTTTAATTCAGTAAGTCTAGACACCCATCTATTATAAATGTATGCATTGTGTATTATCTCACCACACTGGCCTGTATATTATGAAACCGTCATAAAATAACTGGGAAACGTACCATGGTTTTAAAGTGCGATGTAATCCCTGCCCATCTGAATGAAGCAACCGTGTGCCCAGTACAACGCATTTCAGCTAGTCTTTTACTCCTTGCTGTTGATGAGAATGGGGGCCGCTCACATGCTAAGGAATGTCTTGTGCAAAGTCCTCTTTTATTCAACTTCCTTTGTGGTCTTCAATTCAGGACCAATTGGCGCAGCAGCCATTCAGAGCAGTTCTGAATGAACGGGTACTTTAACGCCCAGTTCTCAAAGTTAAACGGCTGTTGCCACATCCCTACAATCATGTCATCAAAATTCAAGCCGTTGTCATTTCTCATACATGACCACAGGGGCGCTTCCTCTGTCTCTCCTCCATTTCTGCCCTTTTTGCCACCCTGCACGGTGGGCAACTCCTTGGCTGTGACAGGGCCAGCGTTGCTGGGGTTGAAGGAGAGACCCAAGGGCATTCAGCAGTCTCGTCCAGCAACCACCACACCAGGCCTCCCCTTCAGCCTTGGTCTTGCAGAAGACTTCCCACCCCGAGCCCTCTACCACCGCTAGTATCAGGATTCCAAGTACCGTATTTGCCGGCGTATAAGACGACTTTTTTGCCCCGAAAAACATGCCTCCAAGTGGGGGGGTCGTCTTATACGCCGGTATATCCACTGCCGGCTTTCGGATGCTTGTTGGACGCAGCGAAGGCGCCTCTGGCTTCCCGGATCCCCTGCGTCGCTTCCGCTTCATCCCGCTCGCCTCGCTCCGCCCGAGGCTGCAGCCTTCCTGCTCTTCCCACGGCCCCTGGCACTCCGCCCTGCCGCTGCAGCCCCGGGGATTTCTGGAGGGCGTTTCTGGTGGTGGTGGGGGGTCTTATACGCCGGGTCGTCTTATACGCCGGCAAATACGGTAATCAATCCATTGCAAGCAAGAAACTCCAAGGCAAAGGATAGCTTTATTGGAAATATCAAGTGGAATGGAATATGGAATGGAATAAGGAATAGAATAGAATAGAATAGAATAGAATAGAATAGAATAGAATAGAATAGAATAGGGAAAGAATAGAATAGGGAAAGAATAGAATAGAATAGGGAAAGAATAGAATAGAATAGAATAGAATAGAATAGAAATAGAAATAGAAATAGAAATAATATAAATAGAAATAATAATAATATAAATATAAATATAAATAGAATAGAATAGAATAGAAGGATGAGAGTAGAATAGAAATATAAATAGAATAGAATAGAATAGAATAGAATAGGGGATGGAATAAGGAATAGAATAGAATAGAACAGGGAAAGTATAGAATGGAATAGAATAGAATAGGGGATGGAATATGGAATAGAATAGAATAGGGAAACAATAGAATAGGGAAAGAATAGAATAGAATAGGGAAAGAATAGAATAGAATAGAAGGACAAGTGTAGAATAGAAATAGAAATAGAATAGAATAGAATAGGATGAGAGTAGAATAGAAATATAAATAGAATAGAATAGAATAGAATAGAATAGGGGGTGGAATAAGGAATAGAATAGAATAGAACAGGGAAAGTATAGAATAGAATAGAATAGAATAGGGGATGGAATATGGAATGGAATAGAATAGAATAGAATAGAATAGAACATTGGGCCAAGTGTGATTGGACACACAAGGAATTTGTCTTGGTGCAAATGCTCTCGGTGTACATAAAGGAAAAGATACATTCATCAAGAGTCAAGAATCATCAGGTACAACACTTAATAAAAGTCATTGGGTACACTAAGCAATCAAATCATACTAAGAAATAGTCAATATATTGGCCAGTATCTGGTGAAAACCAACTCTGAGGGGCCCCTTGGTTTTTTCCTAATTAAAACTTTTTCCCTGAACCCCAAACAATCTGTCACGTGGACCAGTCACAGCAGCATCCGCTGGTCTGGTGACATCACTCCTTCCTCCAGCCAGGTGTGAGAACATCCTTGGTTCCCAGGTGAAAGAACTTTATTTTGACTACACAACCACAGCTATCTCTAATTCCCCCCTCCCTATCGCTCACCCAGCTCAGCTTCAGGGTTGACAGCTGGTACCCCAACTCAAAGCCCCAGCTGCCCCTGACACACTGCTACACCCCCCCCCCTCAGCTGATCATCATCATCATCTTCCTCCTATTGCTGACAAGGTGTGTCCGGCTTGGCCGAATGAGAGGCAGCTGCTGCCTGCTGGCTCTTCTTCTCAAGGCCACACCTGCGCGCCTCTCTCCAAATCGCGCAACCTACCTGTACTTTGGAAATCTGTTCAGTGCAACTAACAGCCCTGGTTTCTTTTTCTGATGCAGTTCTTTTGTTTTTTTAAAAAAAGTCTTTGTACGTATAAACAGGTCTTGAATATCCCGCCATCGTGGAATTCGCCCCGTTTCAAAAAGCAGCCAAAAAGAAGAGTAAGAAAAAGGATGCCAAAGCTGGAACCATTGATGATGGTTAGTAATAATAGTGCTGGGTTGTTCTTTCCTCTTAAAATTAATTTCAATGAGGGGAGCTTGAGAATTTCTGGTTGCAGTTCCTGCTTGTTGTGGTTAGCCAACAGCAGGTGCGGATGGCTGAGGAGAGCGATGACTCAGATGAGGGGCCAGGACCATTAGGGACTGGACTGCTGCCTTCAGTGATTGTGGGGGCTGGCAGCAGCAAGGAGGAGGTTCCCAAGGAGCCTGTGCCAAGTGCGCACGTGCGCACAGGATTGCTCATAGGAAAGAACAGCTGCAACAGCACGGGCAACTCAGGAGTAAGGCTGCAAGGTAGTGGCCCCTCCTTCAAGAAGATAAAAGGCAGCTGTGAAGCGAACATTCTTTGCAGGAAGCAAAGACGTTTTGAAACTCAGCCTCATGGACATTACAGTTGGTATTTGAAGACTCTTGTGTTGTAAACTATTTCTTATCTGTTGTTTTTTGGCAGCCTTGCAAAAACTTGGCAAGGCTCTTTTTTGTCGGAGCTAATTAGTTGGAAGCAGCCTTTTATCTCTGAAAAAACAGGATTCATAGATGAAACGTTAAAAGGTTGTGCTGCTGCCTTTGTCTTGTGTTTGCTCTCTTGGAAACAGGTTTGGATCAGAACACTGGTATAGCCAGGTTCAACATTTCCAGATAAGGGAATTCTCACCATGACCAAGATGACTTTGATTAAGTTGGTGCATAATCTGCTGGAAAGCATCCAGCAAGGCTGTGCCCCTTTCACTCTGCACATTTCAGTGTCCTTCGTTAACCAGCAGATTAAACAAATATTCTCCTGAATTGTCTGCCGTGGGATTAATCTGGTTTCAGGAAAAGAACATATTATCATTGAACGTGAATGTGGTAATGGAAGCTTTGCCACAAAAATTATTGCTGTGGATTATAGAAGATGAAATTGTGTGATCCAAAGGCAATAGAGATCACGTATTTAACACCACTGCAGGCTGGCTGGCATCATAGGCTTTGTGATTTTCAATTTATGTATTTTTTAAACCTGTGTATTTATGAACTGTATGTGATGATCGTTCCTTAGATCCAGAATATAAGAAGTTTTTAGAAAGCTACAGTGCTGATGATGAAAAATTAACATCTACCCCCGAGACCTTATTAGAAGAAATAGAGGCAAGAAATAAAGAATTAATAGGTATGTTCTTAACATATTCAACACATCTATAACTGCTGTTCGTCTCACTTTAGTGGCAATAATACGGAAATTAAAGGTTTCTAAAATCCTCTTTGCAGCCATGTTATAGACATGTATTTATTTTGATAATATTTTTGCAGTAATTTCAGTTGAGGCCTTTTAAAAATACAAACACCGACACTTTATTTTTCTTAACTCTTTAGCCAAAAAGACAACTCCTCTGTTGAACTTCCTGAAGAATAAGCAGGTGATGATAATTCCTTAGTTATAACTGCTTTATGATCTATTGCTCAATTATCCATGTACTTAAAGAAATGGTATCCAATTAAACCTTACTCTTTCACGAGTAAATACTAATATTTCTAATCTTGTTCTGGGGAGTTATGCTGAAGTTTTCTTTGGATAGAAAATTCCCCCCACCCAAAATGTTTTGAAATTACCTTTCCTACCCATTTCCTGGTTTAATTCCTTGTGCATATGTTTTTAAAGAAAGAAAATTATTTTAGTGTTTAGATACTTTAGCTTTGTAACTTAATGTTTCTTAGTTTAGAAAAAAATACTTGCAATTAACATCAGATTAGGTGATGCTTTTGGTTGGAAAAAAACTAACTTCATGATTCTGTTGCAGAGGCTTAGAGAAGAGAAACGAGAGGAAAGGAGGAGGCGGGAACTAGAGAGGAAAAGACAAAGGGAAGAAGAAAGAAGGAAGTGGAAAGAAGAAGAAAGAAGAAAGCGAAAAGAAGCTGAAAAAACAAAAAAAGTAGAAAGGTGTCCAGAGAAAGAAAGGGACAAATCAAAGGATGAACCAAAGATTAAGGTATAACTTCTTTCCTGTAGGATAAGTAACTTACAAACACCATGTGCCTCGTGTATATCTGTAGAATATGATAGCTAATCCTATGTAATTTAGGAGCAGCATGGAACTCAGTGGAGAATACCTGAAGTAAAAAGGCATGTGTTATGTTTAAGTCCCTTGTAATTCATAGATATGGAAATGTCATTAAGATTGCTGTACCACATAGTCCAGAGCACTATCCAATATACTATGTATTTTTATTTAGAGTAGGATCCACTCTTGATTATAGCAACTAGGCTGGCACCCAACGCTACGTTTTAGTGTGGTCTATTGGGTTTTGGCTTAACGCAATCCATTCGCCAGTCATTCTAGCTGATTTTACAAAAAAAGGACTAAGGAAGATGTAGCTTTGTGGACATAAGTAATTTAGAAGATGAGTATGAAGTGGCTCAATGAAAGCCTTAAACCTCACAACTGGCTTGACCCGAGGAAACAAGTATAAAAATTACACCTCACATAGGTCCGTGAGGAAGAAGAATCTATGATGGAAAGAACTGACAGTGCTCATGTTATATATTTAATCCTGTCCATAGTTGGCCAAATTGCTAGCCTAGCTTAGAGTAGAAAATCCATTTAGTAAGGAGGACTAAATTTGTTTTTTTGCTAGCTACTTAAGAAGCCGGAAAGGGAGGAAAGAGATTTTGAAAAAAAGGAAAAAGCCAAGAGACCGGAGAAAGAGAATCTGAGGGAGGACAAGACCGCCAGCCCAATCGGCAGCGTGCCAGCCAAGCGCTCTGATGGCGAAGTTAAAGAGGAAAAGACAAAAAAAATTGTCTACCCATTGCAGTACGTATTCTCATTTCTCAGAACATCCTGTTTAACTTTTCCCCAAAATTCACCTTCTGGAGCTAAAATGTAGTCAACTGTCTGATTTGCCTCACCATTTCAAGGTAACTTTGAAGATTGTCGAGTTAACTTATAGTGTTTGTAGAGATTCTCAGTTTTTCAGGTCATGGTTGTCCCAATAAATATAAACCCTTCCATTCCCGACCATCCAGTCAGAGCTGAAGAAGCTTCTTGGGATGAGAAGCAAAATATCTTCAAAGAAAAACCAGAAAGTCCAGTTGCCTCTTGGAAAAAAAGCACCTTTGGGTTAACTTACAGCGTGAACTATAAATTCCAAAATGTAAACTCTGCATAGGAAATACATATACACCCCATACATCGTTTTACAGTACTTTAAGTTGGAAACATAGGCTGGGAGGAGCTATATAATGAAAATTTCAGTTTCTGATGTCTTTTTGTGTTATTCATATACTTTATCAAGGAATTTGTTGCAAGCCCCCTTTTTTAAAAATTAAAAAATAGATCAATATTCTGTTAGGCATTTCGTGCAAAATCCAGGGTGAATGAATAAATGTGTCAGGATTCTGGCAGTTACCCCAATTAAATCATGAGTCTCGAGCCAAACTTCCAAAACTTCAAAAGGATTTATTGGGAGTCAACATGTCCACCACTGCCTGGGTGTAGCCGACTCTAGACACGTAATTCATTGTCACCCTTGACCCTGGTTTCTCCCCATCCCCCTGGGTGAATCATAATTCATATTCTCCAATGGGACACCTCCATAGCCAAGAATCATCAGTCATGTTCTCCAGTTAGAGTTTTGCGCGGCAGAAACTTCAGTCACTTAGTTACTATCTTTGAAAAACTATTTATGGAATACACTTTCGATATCCAAGCCGCCGCACTGCCCTTTCAAACCCCTTTCCCCACCCCCCTTTCTGTTGGCAACGCTAAAAAGACCATAGAAACATTTTATGAGTTGACATTCAACTCCTGAGGAGATTGTCCTTTTTTTAATCTTCCCTCTTTTTTTTGGGTCAGATTTGAAGACGAGTGCGGGAAAGACTACTGGGAAAGAGAATACGACCGCGATCGAGACTACGAGAGGATTCAGCGGGATAAACTCCGGCGCCAGGAGGAAGACCGCCGGCGGCAGAAAGAACGCTTCGAGAAAGAGAAAGTTTTCCGGAGGAAAGAGGACGACGTGAAAAGGGAACGAGACTCCTTGCGAGAAAAAGGGAAAAGAGCCGACTTCGTGGAATACGTGGGCAACCCAGAGAAAACTGAGAAAGGGACCAAGGAGGACAAAAGAGACGATTTGGCCAAGAAAGACCGGATTCGGAACAAGGTGCTAGTCCTGGTTTTCTTAAATGTCTTTTTTCCAATTTCTCTTAGCCGTCCGTCTCAGGCAGGCAGATTGACAGCACCTCATTACTCCCCCGATACGACAAAGAGGGAGAAACAGCAGATAGATTGGGGGGGAGGGAGTGGTTTGTTTTTAATCAAGGGCATAGACTTTGCTTTTAACCTTCTAAAAGGTCCGTTTCATAGGACCTCTTGGCGAGGATGCTAAAACTTCCAATCGGCCATAGGGATTTCTGGTTGGGTTGCTTACTACTGCGTCGTACTTCCCTACTTTTTCTAAAGCATTCCCAGCCTGAGTCATAGGACCATTCCTCCTGAAAGAAACCTTAATTTAATCCATGTTCACCCAGCCCACTTCATGGCTAGGTTGAGCTGGTTGAACTCACTAGCACTGATAATATTACCTAGTTTGGGTAATGAAAGGTCTGCAAGAAAAGAACCAATCTTAGAGAGCACCAAGGACCCCATAGTTGTCCTCCTCCTCCTCCTCTTCTTCCCCCTCCTCCTCCTCCTACGCCCTTGCTTCCTCCCCCTCCCCCCCCTCTACAAACCCCATTCCCTTCTAGCACTGATATTACGTAGTTGTGAGTAATGAAAGGCCTGCAAGAAAAGAACCAAATGAGCACCAAGGACCTCGTTGTTGTCTT